AGGTTTCAGTGACCATTTAAGTTTCCATTTTTCACTTTCATTTGCCCATGAGGTCATGCTGGCTTTCATGTGGTATGCAGTAAATCTTATTTGTCTGTGATTACACTAGAAAGTCATGGTGGAATACCAGGTACTGTTTTGTTAGTAAGCATAAATACTGTATATTATACACAAATAGTAATATATAAAGTAATATAATATATAGTAAATATAAATAGTGTATATTATATTTTACAGTATTCTTATAATAATATTTTCCAAATTAGATTTGTAACATTTTTTCCACTTCAAAATGAATCATAAAATGTCAAAAACTTGTTAATTAACAGGTGAAGGTACTGACTGATAGAATGTAAATCAAGATAATTAGTTTTGAAGAATACTTAGTCATCAGTAACTGTTTACCTCATAAAACTATAGGTTTGGGATGACATTGCCCTGGTGCTAAAAACAGCCAGGTACTATAAATTATGCAGGAATATTTTGGTTGGGATGGACTTTTGAATAATGAATAAAGTGTACAAGCTGGAAGACTAGGAAGAAATTGATTTCTAGATTTAGTAGGCATTTTGTAAAATCAAGATTTCTTATATTTATCAGTTTTTCCTGAAAACAAATTAGAGAATATGAAAAATTGGGAGTAAACAACTTATTTTAATATCTTCGTTTTCATTTGTGTAACTTTTCAGGGAACATATCCAGTATCCGTAGTGAATCACAACTTTAACATTCTTTATTTCTATTTAATAGTGTATACTGCTTTTATAGACCACATCCATAATTTGTATACAAAATCTGCTGGCCCTGCCTCCAAATGAATAAATAAACATTGATTTTTAAGGTTTAAACAAATAGGAAGGTACAGAAATGGTAATGGTGATGGCCCTAAATGAAGTAGGAAAGGTCTGAAGGAAGAACACAAGATACTTTCATATTAACTTTTAATCAGTGTGTAACAAGTCACTGTAAACATAGTAGCTTAACACAATACCTGCTTATTCTGTTCACAGTTTCTGTGGGCACCTGTGGCTTAGCTGGGTTCCCTGATTAGGGTATCACAAGCTGAGGTTAAGGTATCAGCTGGGGCAGTTTTCCTTACTGGAGACTCTGGAAAAGAATCACCGTGAAGGCTCAATCAAGATGATAGGAGAACTGTGTTCCTCCTTACACTTTCCATGTGGCCCTCTTTGTCTTCAAGCCTGTAATGGAATGTCAGATCCTTCTCATTCTACCAGCAAGAAAATCCCTGGTTTTCTTTTCTGCTTCTAGCTAGAGAAACATCTCTGATTTCAGATTAGGCACTCTAAAGGCATGGGGGCTGAAATTCTACCTACCATAATCATGGAAAAAAAGTCTTTATTTTGATGATTATTGTGTGTTATTAAAAGAGAAGTCGGGTGATCAAATTTGTGTTTTGTAATAATTACTTTGGCAATAATATGCTACCCTGAAGTCAGGGAACAGTCATTAGCGGTCTTAGAAAGAAAAGGATGTCACACAGTGAATAAAGTGCTTACAAGATCTTTGGCAGAGCTGGAGGAGCCGACTAGCTAGGCTGTCTCCCTAGAAGAGGTACAGGACTGGCCCACCAAGATCCTGCTGCCTGTACCAGTAGTAACTGGCAAAGGGAAGAACTGTGGAGGTGCTGTCCTTGGTGCTGATCACATCACCTTAGCTGTGATCTGGAGGTCAGTGGCTGCTGCTGGGCCGTTGACGCCAAGAACAAGCTGCTTACACTTAAGTCTAGCAGTTAGGAAGCCTGCCCCAAACTGCTCCATACCATGCCTACTAGGCTCACTACCTGTTTCAGAACCTAGAACTGACCAGGATTTGTAGGCACTAAATTTATCTGCAATGTAGTAGAAGACAGTAGATTTTAGGACTTTCCAATATTTCCAGTACATGAAGCCCTACTAGGAGAGGTTGGAATAGACACTAAGAAAGCTCATCAGCTTATACATCCATAGAAACAATAATTCAAATTGTAATAATAGTGACATGAATTTATAAGACAACTAGACAAGAGAGGTGTGCATAGATTAATTATTCAGATGAATTAGTAAGATGTTAATTGTTAGAACAAGAGAAGTGCAGAAAAAGGCATTGGAATGACCATCTAGTTTCTGAGTAGGATAGTTAGGTAGGTTTTAGTAATATTTACTAAAATATTCAAGACTGGGAGAGAAGATCATTGGAAGGCATGAATTTTTCTGGGCATACACATCTTGAGGAAACTATAGATTGTCACAGTTCCAATTTATAGGTCATTTATAGTTTATTTGGGCATCATAGCAATGGTGCTGCTTTCTGTGCATGAGGCATAGCTTTGTGTACAAACGTGCCTGGGCCTGAGACTGATACAGTTGACTGCACTGTCAAGTGTAAATGAATCCAAGAATTACTCTTATTATAACATTTAGTTTGATACTTAAAGTCAAGCCCTTTTACTAGTGCTTTAATATCATTATTGAATAATTTCGTTTTTGTTTCCCCTAAAAGGACTCATGAACATTCTATTCCTTAAATTCTTCTTTGTTTCAGAATGTCTGTTTGTTAAATTTCTTCCTGAACAAAACTAAGCTAAATATATTCTTGGGTGACCTTCCTGATTTCCTTATTTGATCATTAATGATGCTGTTTTGCTCTCAGTGTTTCACTGTTTATCTTGCTCTACAGCTTATCATTTGTCTTTGAGCCCTTGTTTTTCTTTATGTTTTTCTGTACTTTCATGTTTATTGTATTTCTTTTTTCATTGTAAAGAATTTTTAGTTTTTATCTTTTTGTTTCTTTGTGGGGAGTCTTTTTTGTCAATGTCTTATACTGTAACTGCTTTTAAAATTGTGATCTACAGTGTGTTAACTGTTGTTACTCTGTTTTGTTATTTAATTTACTTTTATGATTTTTTTTAAGATGTGGGCACTTCTGTCCAGACTGGCTCTTCACTGACACACAGTATGAGTTAGCTCTGCTCGAGCTTCCCATTCTTACTTTGTCTCTTGCAGGCAAAATCCTCCTGGGTACTGTTGGCCTTTCTGCTTTCGTCTATAGTCTGCAGGGCGAACATCCCTGGAGTTAAGTATTCATCTGATATTTAGCCATGTAGATTCTGCTGTCTTCTGAGAGTTTTAAAAAATTATCTTTATCTACTTTCATTTAAAAGCATGTGCTAGAAGATAAGAGTGGGGAAAATATTTTTAAACTGTGAATCATTTCATCTTTTTAATTTAGAGACAGATCATTTCAAGTCACGGTAGTTTCATTTTTAGCTGTTTGGGCTTTTTGTCTTGCTTTGTTTTCATTTTGTTTACCTTTGCTATAAAATCTTCACACTTGGCAGTGGGATATAGAAGCTTCTGTTGCCCAGCGGTTTTTACATAATCTGGGAGACTCTTTAGCCCTTGGTCCACTTTTCTTTAAATAAGGAAGATGTAGTCAGTATGCTCAAAATTTTCTCTTTGCTTTTGTTCTCTGTCGTGGTTTGCGGGAATGGGTGCAAATCTTTGATTAACTGAACCAAACAGTACAAAGCTTTCAGTTCCTTTTAAAAGGTTGTGACAAGAAGATTATTTTGTTACTGCTGGTGATTTTTTTATACCCTTTAGAAATACTGTTTTTGATCAAAGTTCTGGGAGCAGATTCTGTACTCCATTTGATCATACCAAACAAGCCTTTCCTAAGAGTCCCACCTAAGTAGATTTCAGTCTTACATTTTCTAAGGGTGTGTTTACTTAAATAATATAAGCTCCCCAGCAGTAAAGATGTAGGTTAATATTTGTATATGAACTTCTAATTTATATTAGTAAATTTATGTTTTCTAATCTTCTATTTTATTCAATATTTAAGGCTGTCTTATAAAGTAGAAAGGTCAAGATTTACCTAATTTCACTAATGAGAAAACAGATTCAAGAGGATCGAGTAAGTTATCAATGCATGCAGCTAATTATAAGATGGAGTCAAGGCCCTGAAGGCAGGGGCAGTGCTATTTTTACTATACCCTGTTTCTCCATTGAAAGGAAATAATTACCTCCATCTCTTAAGCACAGATGTCTCACCATGTCATTAATGTTCCTACAAACTCTGTTATGACACTGATTTTACTGAGTAAAAGCCAAAAGTAGAGTGGGAGAGATTTGAGAATAATAAGTGTTATGTGACTGTGGTGTTCTGATCCTTAATTAACCTCGGTGTTTCTTAGTTATAATAAAGCTAATATTAAGTCTTTTCAGTATTTTTCCCTCTCTGGTATGCATGAAACTGCACAAAATTCAATAAAATCAAACTTACAACCTTCAAGACCAGAAGTGGATACAAGGTTTTCCACATGGGAAATGACCCTGTGGGCCCAATTGCCACGCCTGTAATTCACTTTTCTCTTGGTATACTTTGCTTTTTATCCATGCTTTGGTGAGAGAACCTGTGTTCTCTTCGTTCAGGTTTTTTTTTCCCCACGAGAAAGTATCCTTGACTCGTGCATACATTCCTTGTGTTACACCTGACACTAGATTGGAACATCCAGACCAAGGTTCACTGCAAGCATTGAGTTAATAGTTAGCATACATGAGTTCATCTACAAAGTACGCTTCTCAGATCTCAGACGCCACTATCCGTCCATCTTTATGACTCAAGAACACGTGAGACGTCGGCCCTTCTCAGTGACACCCAGGAAAGCTAGTTCTGTGGAGAGGTCGAACTTTTCTCTCTTCGTATGATTTACTTTTCTAGGTTCTGTTTTTTTCTAAGCCTTTTCTTAATGTAACACAGATGTTGCCTGTCTTCAGGAGAAACACTTCCTCTGTTCTCAAGGATATGAGGCCTCAGCAGGGCAAGTGTATCAGGTCAGAGAAACCACAGTAGTCATCTAATGGCCGTCAGACCCAGAAATGGAGGGGTGATGTTAGTGAAAGATGCTAGAAAGTGAGAGTGACAGTGTGGTCTACCTCTAGTTCAGAAGCCCGTGGATCGTGAGCTAATAGTTTAAACTGACACTGTTTTCCTTCTAGGTATCACGAACTGATCACTAAGTATGGGAGGCTGGAGCCTTTGGCAGAAGTGGACCTAAGACCCCAGAGCAGTGTAAAAGTGGAAGTCCACTTTAATGATCAAGTGGAAGAAATGAACATTCGTCTGGACCAAACAGTTGCAGAACTAAAGAAACAGTTAAAAACTCTGGTGCAGCTACCCACAAGCAACATGCTTCTCTACTACTTTGACCAGGAAGCCCCCTTTGGCCCAGAAGAAATGAAGTACAGCTCTCGGGCATTGCATTCTTTTGGCATTAGGGATGGAGACAAAATTTATGTGGAATCCAAAACAAAATAACCTCTACCAGCCTTGTAAAAACACACATAAGAACTCTTGCAGGGCGTTTGTTTCCAGTGTGGTTTTTTTTAGGAGGGAGAAGGCTATTTTGTTGTTTTGTTTTATTTTGTTTTGTTTACCTTTGGGAGGGATTTTATATATTTTTGCCCCTAGAGTGCATAGGGGGCTGTTTTGGGTATTTTCTATTTCAGGTTTCTTGAGCTCAGTCAGCAGAATAGGCACACCTGCAGTCCATTCGCCCTCTTGCATAAAGATGACCAAGAAATCACCGACTTCTTACTGTGATCACTGGGGTTCATCTGCCGCTTGGTTTTGTCCCCGCTAGGTGTGCTTGTGAAGAGAGCGTGAGCACCGAAAGCCCTGGGAGGGTCTCACAGTATTACATCAGGCGGAGGCGGGGATCTTCCCGGAGGCCTGGCACTCCCTCCCTCCCTCCTTCCTGCTGCCTTCCTCTCCCTCCTTCCTCGTTGGTTTCAGTTTCTCTCTGACTTGTGTCAGCACATGTTTAGCTAGTAATTTTATCCCATTTAGAATTAACCTCTCAACTTCAGTGCTTTTTTTTTTTTTTTTCATTTCTCCCTTTAGAAATAATTTTGAGTATTTTAAGCATTTTGCAACCTGATTCTGATCTCAGGTACTCAGTAAAAACCTTTAACTCTGTTAGGATCTTAAGGAACAAATGGAAAGTAAAACTCCAGGAAAATTGACTGTTATTCTGGAAGTATTGGTAGAGCAGTCTGATCTCTTTACATGCTATTCTGTCACTTTTAATGTCCTGTATAGAGTATATAAGTCATTACTTCCATAACATGAAATATGTCAGATTACAGATTATTTTATTTTTGCCTATTGAATGTATTTCTTCTTCCTTTTTGTTTAAACTATTGAGACTAGAGACCTGATTTTATGAAGAAGTCAGTAGAATGCTGGCTATGCATGGCAGGAGAGCAGAGAATCAGCTGATCGATGATCTGTGCTGTGTGTTGAGGACGGAGTGGGGGATGCAGGTGAATTGGTTTCACGATTTGCCTGTCACCCACTCGAAGCCTTTGTTCTTGCACTTTGCATTAAAGGTGGGAAATTTTAATCAAAGGGGTTTTGCTTCCCATTTTGTGGGGTTTTGTGATGTAATAATTGAACAGTTCTTCTTGTTTTACATTTCAATTTAATTGCCTCCATAGAAGAATAACTCTGCCGAATATATAAATGTCAAAACTTCCAAACTGCACCCAAGTCCGCATTTGCAGAAGCATATTTAAAGCACTTTCCTTTAAAAGCCAGTCCTTTGCTTGCCCTCAGCTCTTCTTCGTTTGTTCTCTGTTCCTTTTTAAACCAGATGTAATGACTTTCTTTAGTACATATCTTCCTGGGCTCTGCCATGTTTATGGGTGGAAGACTTGAGGAACACTTCACTAGGGCAGGAAGGCAAAGGCAGACATATAACACGTTTTCAGATCACCATCTAGTTGCATTGGATCTTTTGACCTTTGTTAATGATTCCACCCCTCCTGTGCATTTAATTTCTTAGGAATTCTTTAGATGACAATTACCAATTCTTCATGGGGAGTTGTGTTTATTATTGCTACTTTTTAAATTTTCCTACGCCGTGTGGCAGATGTTTATTCTCCTAATGCACTTCAGGTTCAGTATCTCTAAAGCCTTTGACTCAGGCCTTCTGAGGCAAACCTACATTCACTGTAACGTTAAAGATGGAAACCAAAGGGTTTGAGAAAGACGAATGAAGCCTGTTCTCCTGCTGCTGCAGACTTTTATCTTTCGAAATCACAAACACGAGCAATGGAGATCCAGGCCGAGTAAAGACAAGAACAATTATTTTGCATTCACAGTTTCCTAACAGATTTTTGGAAATAGGAAAAAAAGGATGGCAAGTGTCATGAAGATGAAAGCTGTGAGTGTTTTGTGTATGTGCAGATGAGTACAGATGAGTCTGAGAGAGGAACGGTGTAATTGAACGCATTGGTTTTGCCAGCCTGGGAAACAGATGCAGTCTTATTTTTTGAAGTTGTATGACCACTGATTGTCACAGAGCGGAAGGCTATGTGAACGCTTATGCTTTAATCATAAGTGGAATGGTCACAATAAGATATTTTATATATGAAAAAGTTTTATGAAATGCTTTTTTACTATTAGAAACCTGTTTCTTCTGTTATTACAGAACAGTGTTTATCAGCTGCAGACATAATTCTTTTATTATACAGCTGCATGTAGAGGGAACTGCCCGTTTAATTCAGCTGATGTGGGTATTTTTAGGGCATTGTAATTGATGGTTTTAAAATTGCTGAATAATTTTTGATTAATAAAAAGTTCATACAATTACTGATCTTTCAGAGTTACAGAAGTAGAGGAGAAAAGCTGTGTGAGCATGTGTACTTCACAGATTCGTTGGGTGGCTGAGTGATGATGCTGCTTTCAAATAAAACTGGTGCTGTGTAGACACTTGTAACCAATATTATTTTTATAACAGGCCTAAAAGAGGGAGAGAAGCAATCATGGACCTTTGAGTCTCAAAGTGATGCGTAGTTTTCTGTAACTTACCTGCATTTAATATTGACTCCATCCAGACCCAATAGGGGCATATTATTGACATTTCTGAGGCAAAATGCAACCGTAGCCAGTATTGTACACATGATGGATGCTTCAGGCATAATGTATGGAACATGCATTTTCTAAAGTAGAAATGCCTTTCAGCTATGAAAAAAGAATAATAAAAGAAAGCTACGTCAAAAGCAAGGGATCCTTTCTTTGTGTGGATTCACAGCTGCTGAAGCCACAGAAGCCAGCTTTTGAATTTGAATTGTTGAGCTATCTTGGATTTTTTTTTTTTAAGTCCAGAGTTATATGTCTTTATTGTTAAAAATTTTTTGTTGTTCCTGCAACCCATTGCCACCATTTTCATAAATACACAAGGAACCTGAAATTTTAAGTCCTTTCTCTTTAAAAATCTTTTGCTGAAAATTTAGCCCAAATGTAAGCCTCATTCTGTGCGTCAGGGGTGACTGCTATGATGCGCTTTCTAAAAAGTTGTTTACTTTTTTAAAAATTCAACTTTAATTAGACTTTCAGTTATGTGACCAAGCCAGCAGTGTTAGGGGCAGAGGACATTAATCGCACAGAGAGCTGATCAGCACTTGCGACACACTGCTGATGGCTTTTACTGATGACCTGCTACATGAGAAATACTAGACTCCAGGCCATGTAAAACGTGAATTCAAAATCCTATGCTGTTCTAAGGAATGTCATTTCTGTTTACAAATTGGATTTTTTCCTCCTCTCATGTTAGATTGAAAATACAAGCAGACTGCTTTCAAGAACATTGAGAAGCTCTCTGTGTTACCAGACATGTTGTGAACACTGCTGTTTTTCATAGGTGCTTCCTGGAAATGTATGTCCATTATAGTGATGGAGAGGGACTGGGCTCTCTCAGGCTCTTGACTTGCCGGTTGTCTCCCGCATTAATGGAAATATATATTTTAATTTAGAATATAATTTAAACATGAAGGTCTATTCTTTGCACTTTTTGTTAATAGATATATATAGAGATAGTTAATCTCTAAAAAATTAAAAATCCAAGTCCATTTTCTCTTTGTGTTCTGATTTTTTCTTCTGGAGTGTTGGGTCAAGGGTATACGTTTATTTTTCTATAGCTCAAAATGGACATTGGGTCTGTGGTTGAACACAGGATTCACTTAAATCAATAAGAGTCTGACCACTTTTTAAGTAATTGAAATCTTACTAAAGATGAAAAATGACAAAACAAAGATTCATGAGAAATGTGCAGTTGCTTTTCTGTTAGAAAAATGTTATGTGCATTTTTAAAAATCCTTTGAGGACAAAACCTCTTTTGAAATACATAGTACTATTTTTTCTCTTAGTAAGATTGAAAATCTCATTTTGGTGAAATTAAAAATTTGCCAATTTTTATTCAAGAGCTGCTTTTTCCCCTGGAAAAATAATTTTCTACAAGTATGAGTTTTGAACATTTAAGTGCTACCTGCTTATCAATGATTTCTTGGTAAGTTTGTATGAAGAATTATGATCTAAAGACTGTACTTCGTTTCTGTGTTTCAAGGACATAGTCCATGAAGTTCTCTTAAAAGAGAATGCTTCAAAAATACAAATGTATCTAATCTGTAAATTTAAGATTATTTCTGCTTCCTATTCAAATTTCAAAGAATTGTCATTTTAACTTGTGGCAGATTCTGTTTAATCACTATTGTGAGCTTCTCTGAGTATTTACAATGTAGACATATATTTAGACGTGTAATACTTATTGGACTGAAAAATGCTATGACTTTCTCCAGTTATTTTAATGCATATAAAAAGGTTGACCTTTGGAGACACACTTCTCTTCCCAGCCCCTCAGGAAAAGAGGTTTACATTTGGTCTTCCCATGAAAGTCAGCCCTGTCATCCCCATTTTCTTACTAACAAGAAAATTGACACACAGATAGGTTAAGTAACTGGTCCAAAGTCACCATTGGTAATGATGAGGTCAAGGTTCAGACACAAGTAAGTAGCTACAGAATCCATGCTGCAGCGTCTGCTGCCAAGTTCTCTGTACCTGCCCCTGCCTCCAGCACACACCTCTACTGTGTCTTTGTTTTTCTGAAACACTAAAGTGAGATATTCCTTCATATTGATTTACTAAATTGATTTACCGTGTAATGGAATCACTGATGTGACTGATAGCCTTAAATTCAGTTTCCCTATGGCAATTCCCACACTGTGACATTGGAGTTGGTCTCCTGTTGACCCTGCTCCTCTGGAATCCATGTTAGCTGCTTGTAACGCGTTCTGTCGACAAGAATAAATGAACTAGTGGCAGATGCAGGAAGATTGGTAATTTGATTTGTAATCAAGGGACAGTCTAGAGCCTTAAAACTTGGTTTTAGTAGACAGACAATTCTAAGTCTGACTCTCATCAAAGAGGCCCAATATTCCACGTGAACGTAAAAGTATTAATCAGAAAAAGTTTTAGTCCAGTGGAGCCTTTATGAGCAGCTTTGTTATAGGAAAGGATGAAACTGTCACTGCTGTTCCTTTACAGTGAAGAGAGGGCACTGTCAACTGTGCCTACTAGGGGAGATGGGTTATCTGTTATGGTCTGCAAGACCTGGATCCAAAACAACAAAACTGCAGTGCAGTTTCACTTTGTAGACTGTTTCACAGACTCCTCAACTTGAATACATCTTTGTCACTCTAAGTAATGCAATTAAGGTCTAAGTAAGAATGGGAATAGAGGAAAAGATGAATGCATACAGACTAAAGAGAGAAATGTCTTACAAAATACCAGATTCATTTGAGAGCAGATGTTAGGTTTAATGCGCTGGTGGAATAGAACAAGGACAATAAAACTGCCTCAAATTTCAGTTTGCTTACAAAAAGTCTGAAAAAAAAAAACATTTTTAAAATATTACATTCACATGGTTCAAAAGTCAAACCACATACTTGAAGAATTGAATAGTTTCATTCTAATGCTTCTACTTCACTGTACTTTATTATGTGCCCTCCCAGAATTTACACAAATAATAGCAAATGTATTTTTAATTGTTCTTACACAGAGTTAGCATATTATACACAACTTTGTTTCACTTACCATGTATTTTGGAGATCTCTCTGTAACCGTACATAGGGAGCCACCTTAAGAGATCTAGGGTACATGCATACTTTTATATAGATGTGCTATAATTCATTTAATCAGTAACGTGTTCACTGACATTTGAATTTTTCTCTTCTTTCTTAACCTCGTCCTGTTTTTTTTTTTACTATTTTCAGTTTGCTGCAGTAAACAGCATATGTTCTTTTATATGTTGGAAATATATCTGTAGAATGCATTTCCAGAAGTGAGATTGCTAGATCAAAAGCTCAAGGTGTTTGTAATTTTGGTAAATATTGCCAAGTTGTTTTCCAATAGGGTTATATAAAATGAGCAATTTTTTCCTGGTTTTATTATTTTCACATACCTGCAAAATGAAAGACTTCTCTGATCTTCAGCTCGTATGATTCCAAATAGCTGTCTTCCCCATGAGGCCTTGCAAATTTAGGCCCTGGTCACCAACACATGATAAATTTGGTAAGCCACACATCTATCTTAGAAGTCATCTTTCCTCTGCAACCTGTAATTTTTAATCATTGAAAGGTGAGATTTCATCCTTGCAGAGAAGGTATATGTACTATTTATCCTTAACAATGTGTGAACACTTACTTCAGCTGAGTGCCCCTGAAAGGTGATGGATTAATTACCACTTCCTACCAATTTTCAGCTTGATTCCTAATACGCTAACAATGACATTAGAACAAAGCCAATTGGGAGATTTAGTACGGCATTCTACTTGCAACTAGCTGTTATAAACTCCTTGCCTGAAGATACCACAGTTGTTTTAGAAACTATTTTCAAATTCTTCAGAGATGAACATCTGTTATAGAGCCCTTAGATCTAGAAAATACTGCTGATTAATAAACATTAATACATAGCACAATATGGTTTACAAACAGCCAACACTGTATTTTTGATATTTATTAATATTAAACACAGACTCTGGAATGAATACAACCAGCACAGAAAGAAACTTGCAGGCAGATAATACCCTTTTAAAAGATGGATTCTAAAGCATTTGTTCTACAATTTAAACTCTTGAAGTTTGCAGTATACAGTTAAGATTACTACGGTGGTAACAAAAACTGTAGAAATATCACACGATGAAAAATCTGATTTCAAGAATGAAATGTCAGTATACTGCATGATCATCCTATTTCAGGAATGTTAGCCTGTCCCTACCCATCCTCTGTCTCCAGAGAAAACTGGTGATTTCATTCAACCCTGAGTATCTGAGTATTCTGAGATCCTGATCACCATAATGCTGTTTAGGTGAAGAGTGCACAGTCATGACGGCAGGACACTATGAGGGAGTATGACCAAAAATGGCCACCTGAATGCCACACATTATCCCTTAGGCTTGGTATATGATGGATGTCCTCACAGGTCGGTGGTTCACCTCATTCCTTGCCAGTCTTTGGACAAAAAGAACACAAAGTGCCCAGGCAGCATTGCTATGCCTCCTGCTGAAAGTGTGCCCTCAGAAGAATCCAGGAATTCAAAGTCCACAGAGCCCAGAAATGAAAGTTTGGGAAGTATAAAGTCCCCTGTATCAGTCAGCTTTCATTACTATAGTGAAATACCTGGTGTGAGCTATTTTTGAAGAAAAGGTTAATCTAGCTCACTGCTTTGAAATTTCAAAGTTCAAGTTTGGGCAGCCCTGCTGGTTTGGTCTCTAATGAGGGCAAGTGTGTCAGCACATCATAGTAGGAGCATATGTGGGAACAAGCGGTCACTTCTTAGGACAGGAGAGAAAGAGGACGGGTAGGGACAGACTTACTTTTTTATAACAGCCCTCACAAGAACTACCAAAGGGATCCCATGAGAAACAGCCTAGTGATTTAAAGTCTTCCTGCTGGCCTGCACCCTGCGAAGTACGCTGCGTCCCAACATCACCACCTTGGGGACCACACCTTCAGTCACTGTGGATCTTTAGGACACACTCCGCATCCCCTAGTAATTATCAAAAGTAATGGCAAGTGGGGCCCCTCCTGCATCCGTGATTTGGTTCCTGGATCCATGTAGTCTTGCTGTTGGGGACTCTGCACTCCACAGAAGTCAGTGTACTCATTACATATACTGTCTTGGAGAACAGCACCTTGTCTTCATGGGATAGTATCTTCAAGACCTTTTCTAGCTTCCTAAGCCATTTTTTTCAGTGCTCTCCTGGGATGTCATCTTCTGTGTCATACTATTTATATTCTAATCAGCAAATCCTGTAACACAGGCCCAGTCTCACATTGCTTTTCCTGTAAAAGGGGTTTCCTAGTCAATGCTACTTTGCATGGGATTCTATGCCTCGACATCAAGCATTCTTACCTGTCTCTAGTGGTACTGGCTGAGACCTTTGGGCAAGAAGGCATATTATGATCTTTATCCATAGAAAGAAAAGAGTCAATATGTCATTTTGTCATCAGTTGGCCAGCTGATTTCACCACAGGACAATGACATACTGAAGAGTTGGGTTTGGTCTGACTCACTAGAACAACCATGCTAAATGGGACTTCATGCTGTTGATTCTATGTGCCTTCACCTGTGTTGACATGGCCACTTTATACATGTGCACTGTACCGACACTGACAAGGCTGCTTCACATCAACTGGCTGAGCTATTTTCTCTACTCGGTTGCTTAGTACCTCTCTTCTGTAGTGGGTGCTTGCTGGTGGATGTTAACATATGATACAAACATCTTCACACTTTGTATCTGTTCCCATCTGTCCCTCCTCATGTCTCCATTCTGGGCCTCTTTGTTACTGGAGTTCCCATCTTGGTCTTTCCCAGCCTTTTATAGCTGGCTATGTGAATCACTACCACCCAGTTTGTACCTGCTCTCACCTCAGGACATTTCTCCTTCAACCCAAAGAACATATCACGATGTATCACCCTAAGCTCCGCACATGGGGGATATGTTTCTTTATTGTCTTTCAAAACCAACAACCTTGCTATGAAAATTTTCAAATGATTGTGCCGGAAGTATGAGTGTCA